ACACAACTAGAAGCATTACAGATAATGGGTCAAGACAACATCATTTGGTCTATATGTATGTTGATCTATATATTCAAAAATTCATAAATTCCCAGAGGGCTTCAGTCTGGTATCAAGAAGAAAAGTCAGTATGATCATAACAAACAGTTAAATACCTCCAGAAGTGTAGCAGACAATACCCTTATGACCGAATTCCTGTGGTTTTGTGTATTTAAATTATGGGTGGGATCATTCCCTTCAACTGCCCCACTAATATAGCACTGCCCAGCTTTGGGGAGGCTCTGGGCAGGAGTCCTGGGCTAAAAAGTTTCCAGCACAGCAGAGACTTGGGAGCCCAGCAGCTCGGGTCAGAACCCACCCAGGAGCTCTTACACCCAGTGTGTGCTGTCACTGGACACCTTTGCTGTTATGAGTGGTGCACAGCATGGTGTGACTCTCTGGAGCCTGTCTCAGGGTAGGATGCTGAGTGCTGCAGCAGGAGAGCTCTCCAGGGATGCCACAGCTGTGAAGCACAGAGCAACCTGAGCAGCTCTGCACCTCAGCCATGGAGCCAGGGTAAGCACCAGTGTGTCCACTTGAATGGTGGGCCCACTCACACTTCAGCACCAGCCATATCCCAAATAGGACTCCTGCATTCCTGCCTGCACAAAATGCTCCCACTGTTAATCAGTGTTTTGCATCACACCAGTCTTTCTTGGGGTAGGGCAGAGGCAGCTGTGTTCTGAAATCACAGACATAGCATATGTAGCATGATGGTGCATAAGCACAGCCTCTTAATTTTTCTCTCAGGCCCTGGTAGAAGGGGAGGGCCATGAATTTCACTAGCAAAGATGTAGCTATTCACATGGATACCCACCAGCTCCTAGACATTACCATAGTCTGTCCTCCCTGATGTTAGGCTCTTTTTGACTAATGTGTCCACTTTAAAAAAAAAGAACAGAAAAACCTCAACCCCAACCTCAAAACACTGCCAATGAGTCCTGTGGTAAGATTCAACAAACTCCAAGCCAAGATATACATGTTTCATATCTTAATACTAGAAGAATGTTGCATGCCTTCTGTATTCCAATGAAAGCAGGTTTTTCCCACAATACAGAAGATAAATAAAATACCCTTCCATAGAATTAACTAAACAAAAGCTGTTGTTTGTTGGCTTATTGTAGGTGTGTCTCAAATCTTCAGTGAGGGATACAGAAAACTCACTATGTGTGTTCTGCATTTCATAAAAAGAGGTGCTTGAAATGTGCTTAAGTCCACGAACTAATGTGACAAGCAACAGATGCATGATCTTGTTGGTTGTCATTACAAGACTGCACTTTTGTGAGGTAGGAAAGAAACCTTTGCTACTTATGGCTTTTTTTGACCAGACTGGAATCTAAAGATGTCTGTTAGAGTTGAAAGCAAGGGGAGAAAGCATAATTTTTACAGTTCTTTACTCAACATGCTTATTTAAGAGAGAGACACTTGGGAAGGGGAGGGGGGGAGGGGTAAGTAAAGACACCTGTTTTCTATTTTTAAAGAACTCTCTTCTTATACCATGTTAAGTATGTTCACAACACTCAAGCTGTTGAGCATATCCCAAAGAAGGCTGGCAGGCAGGATGGGGGTGTATGGTGCTACATGAGGGGGTGTCAGTGGAGCAGCTGAGGTGTTGTCTAGCCAGGTGGTTGGCAGCACAAGCAAGGATTGCCTGTTGGTGGGGAGAGCATCTGTGAGTGCTGGCAGAAGTTGAAACTGGATGCAGCTCCATCCTGAAAACCTGTATCTATCTCCAGACAGAGATACAGGTTCTGGCTCTACCAGCCTGATCCTTTGAAATTCTAGACTGGGTCTTGACAAGCAGCATGAGTGAGTGTGCAATGCTGATACCTCTGTGTGGGAGAAAGCTACAGCTGTCTCCCTTTTCTTCTCCTTCTTACATCCCAGCTTCTTGTTTCAGCAGATGTGGTGTTTAAGCATTATCACTGTATGGGCAATGCAAACAGCATGTTTTCTCTACTAGTCCCACAGCTATCCACCAAAAGTGAAGCTGTTGCAGGGCATGAAGAGTAGAATGAAGGTTATGTTTTCTTAGTCCCTCTGCTCTCACTGGATTTCTGCAGCTGCCAACTACCTGGCAGTTATTACCTTCCAACAGCACTACATACAGGAGAAGTAATTCCCACAAGTAATCCATCATCATCTGTTTACAAGAGCTGTCATTTCAAGAAATGATGCTCTGGTAAATCTCCCTAAAGTAAGGGATGGTAGAAATTACAGCCACCAGTAGCTCCGGTCAGGCTGAAGTTAACCGTCTGTGCTCCCCGGAGCTATGACAATTATAAAACAAAACCAACAAGGACTGTAGTCTTCATCCATCTTGTGACATTCATTTTCCCCCCTCCTATGATAAAATCTCCCTCTAATTTCCACAGCACACAGTGCCAGCACCAGCTGGAGGGAACTCAACCTCTTCTTCTTTGTGCCATTGGTGAGGCTAAATGGGAGGCTGGTCCCAGGCACATCACAGTCACACACTTTATCCTAATTAGAAGGCATTATCCTTTCCTTTGTGCTGTGAACTATCCTACTTGGTCTCTCTTGCCTTCTACTACAGCTTCCAAAATTATTTTTGTTGTTTTAAGCATAATTGTTTACTGAGATTTAAGTTAATTAGAAACAATATACATGTATGTGTATTCCTAGGACCCATGATAAAGGTTCAGGTACATCTTAACCTCAAAATAAAACTGAAATAACTCCTTCCTAGTTCAGCATTGTGAAAAATGTGTGCTTACCGTGCCAGAGACTATCTTAAACTTTTATATGTTGAAAATGTGGTGGTTTATAAATTATATCTTCCTTCCTAAAAGAGGTAGGAGATGGTTTAGTTCTTATAGCTTAAAGATGACAATATATTTAGTAGTCATATAGCAATTCTTTACCATGGTTTTGGCACTTAAAAACGATTTGTGATGACTTTGATGGCCTACAACTAGGCAGATATGGCTCCCTTCAGCAAAAGACTTCACTCATTTAAAAGCATAATTGCACTGACATTGATTTAATAAATTAAGAAGTTACCAAATTTTTTCCTCTCCAAAGTGGACTGCTTGAAAATATATGGGCAGTTATTCAGCAAAAGAGTTTCTTACCAGCCTGCTGAGCGAGAGCACAGATCAAAACAGTTCAGAATACCTCATTTATGAACATTTGTAATGCAAGGAAAATGACTTTGTGCGGCAAAGCACTAAACCCTATTATTAATTGTAGGCAAAGTCACACATACACAGATGAGAGAGAAAAATTGCCATGTTCCTGAAGGGGCAAAGCAGATCTGAAAGGTAAAATCTTGTAGGAGAGTGCATAGACAAAAAAAATCATTCAAAAATAACAAAAAAAAAAAAAATGCAACACACTGAAAAAGAAAACATGCTAAGAGACTTCCACCAATGCTTGGGCAACCTGAAAGAGTTAAACTGCAATGAAAGCTTACAAGTAAAGCTAAAAGACCTTACGACCTGCTTACCCTTCCCAGAGCAGAGACTCCACTGCACAGTACCTTAACATCAGCACAGAGCTTACCTCAACAAAACCAGCTCAGAGCTGGCTGCCTGCCTCTGACCAAGCCCCCAAACTCGCTGCAAACAAGACCTAATTAGCAGTAATCACAGGAGCCATCCCCGCCCTTTTTTTTCCCCTTGTTTTTTTCTTTTTTTTAATTGAGCCCAGCCCAGCTGCAGGTGCTGCTGTGCCTGTGTTCTCAGCTTGGCTCCTGGAACCTGCTCCAGTTCTTGTTGTTCTGCTCCATGCTCCCCTCTGCACCCAGCATGGGCTTGGCATTCCCCATATATATTTTAGTGTCTCCCAGCCTCTCAGTAGCAGGGCCCAAGCATTTCCTGTAGATAGACCTAGTGGTTGGTAGCATTAGGGTCAGGCTGGTGGCACCCTGGATGGCACATCCTCCTTATGGCTATTGCCACAGTCTCAGCTCCTTCCCTTTCCCTGGTGCGCTAGAAAGCTGTGAGAGATCTGTCTTCTGAGATGACTGCCCATTATAAGTTCATGAAACCACATTTAAAAAAAGTAAATAGTGTCACTTAAGTTACCTACCATGGAGAAGTTTCTTCCCTTAAGCAAGACTTTGTGGTTCAAGTAACATAACTGCACTGTCCCTGCTGAGAGGCACGTTGGAGAGAAAGCCAGAGGTGTTGCGAGGGAGGTGGCCCAGCTCATTAAAGGGAGAATAGTGACCTTTTCCATTAACTACCTGATGAACACGTGCCACCACTCACCTCTGCTCTTGGGGTATTTGGCACAACCTCATGTGAATTCCAGAACGTTACAGCTGACCAGCAGATTGAATGCATTCAGCTCATGACTAAAAAAAGCTGTTTTATAGGCCTGCTAGCCCTGCATACCCTCTCAGGGCTGTGAAAGACAGGCTGTGTTCCTCCTGGCACTGATGCCTCATCCATAATCCCGTCCCACTGAGCTGCCTCACAGGTGCAGCAAAGGTACAGCCGAAGCCTGTGAGAGATGATTTGTGAGTCAGGTGCAGTTTAAGCACCACCAGCTAGAAAAAACTTTTTTTTTTTTCTTTTAAAGTGAGCAGATCTGAGGTTTGAGTGACTTAGAACCAATAAATATGGATGTCTTTTTTTTTTACAGAGTAACATTTCAGAGTAGAGCTGGAGTTTTGAGCTCTTAACCTCAAAAGCTGGGACAGAGCCATGCCATATATTTTTTATGTGGCAGTACAGGAAGAAAGGTTATCATGTTTAGTTAGCTAAAAGAAGTCTGAAAAGTTACCTTTCTGCTAAAATCTAACCTCAGCACCTTCCCCTCCCCTAAGACTGTGAAGCAATTTCACACTATAAAAATGTGAACTTTGAAAACACAGCTGCTTGCCCTGACTCCCTGGTTAGAGTAAAACTGAGCAAAAACAAATCTAGAGGAATTTAAATGTTATCTTTCTTCCTATTAAAAATTTCACTGGATAGTCTGCCAGAGTAACTGACCTCCAGAACCAGGGTCTGCATGTGACAGTCTGTTTGTCCCTCTGGCTCCCATCATTTTCACAGCCATCTTCGCTTCACAGGGATCACTTAGTGATGCTGCTCTGGGAACTGCACATCTCCAACAGCAAATCCACAAATGTCTTTTATCTGAGCACAGATGTTTTCCTCCCCAGCTATTTACAGAATCCCTAGAAGCGTTATTCAGGAAGTTTCAAACAGTAAAGTATTTCCAGCAAAGAGCAGCCTTTACCCAAGGGGTAACTGGTCCTACTTCAGAAGCATCAGCCTACGAGCTCATTGTTGAAGTAAGAACAAATATCCCACTAGTACATTTAGATCATCATTGTTATCCTCAAAACTCAGCAGTGTGGGATCTTTTAAAAATAATAAATTGTCAGAATTTACCAAGATATTGTGAGAAAAAGATTATGTAAACAGAGATCTGATTCTTGTAGTAGCCTGTTTTGGGCTACCAGAATTATGGATTTTCTGGTGGTCTTTCAAATGCCACAGGGTATGGAGTTACATTATATCAGGTATAATTTAATACATTTTATCTATTTTATGCTTACTTCTATATGACTTAGGTGTTAGTATCACAGTTTTATAGATCATTTGGTGTGAATTTCTTCTAGTTTTGCCTTAATTTTGAACTTGCCATGTGGCAGTAACCCACTTGATGAGAGGAGTAAATCTTCCCAAATTAAAGCAAGTTGTGTTATGGCTCCTTCATGTACAAATTCTTGTGTCAGCTCAGCTCTGACAAGTGCTCTCTTGGAAGTTGAGGAGCACAGGACTCCAGGACAAGTGTGCTGTTCAGACAGCAATGAATGAGAAAGCACTGCTACGCAGCTAAGTTTGTCTGGCATCTGTCTTGACATTGGCAGTTTGAGCAATAATTTCCTCCCCAGATGCTGTGCAGAATGAGAGAGTTTGGCTTAAGAGGTTAAAAAAATAATGGTCTGGCAGTAAACAGCTTTTTAGAAGTACTTTTTGGAGACTAACTTAAAATTGTGCAATGCTTTGTCTACAGTGTTAGGAATCACAGCAAGTAAAATATTAGATATACAATATATATCTTTGAATGATCTACCTGAAAGAGACTGATACCTGCTGGACTTCCAAAACTTTCTCCCAGGATACAACTTTTTCAGCTTCCTTCTTTATATCTTGCTTAAATTAGTTGAAAACATGAGTTGAAAACTCACAAACTTTGGGAAAACTTGAATCTGGCTCTAAATGTCAGGTTTTGGTTCTGTTCTGCAGATTTGTGAATTTATTTGCCTATAAAGAAATCTCACAGCTAATAAACAAAATAAAGAAATGTTTAATGATCCTCAGAACAATAAACATTAGCTAGCTCCATTTCCTTCTTTCCCATCAAATTCAATCACTATGCTAAAACTTGTTTCTTTAAAGTCAGACAGGAAGAGGCAAATTTTCCCCTTGTGAAGATGAACCATACTCAGCCTGTGCATTTTGATATTTAGCCTAACACTTGGCCCTGGCTGTGCTGCGTTTCAGAGGCAGCAGCGGGGAATGAAGCATTCTTCAACTCCTCAAGGGGTCTGGACCACTGGAAAGGTCAAGCAAACAAAGTTAAAATAACCACGAGGCTTGCTGGCCAGCCAGCACTCTGGGTCCAAGATCAGCGGTGCTGCTGGTGGTGACTAATGCAATGAAATCAGCTCTGGGTCCTGTGCTGCGGGAGCGATCTTATAGCGGTGCGTGCTGCTGCCAGATGGATTGCTCAAGCTTGGAAACCTCCCTCGTGCGCACATACTTAATCACAACAGCCGCTTTCCATGGAAAAACGTGGCACCGGAGGAGGGAATTTTAGCCACTTCCCTGTAGGAAACAACAGCAGGGAGCAGACTCCAATGTGCAGGAGTCTATGTGTGGTGAGCGTGGGCTTTTTGGGCTGCAAAGAGCCATTTATTTGTTGGGAATTGTGGCAAAGCAGAGCCTGGAGGAACATGTACCAGGAGAACTTGCTGGAGAAGAGGTCAGCAAGCACCATGGGCTGGCTGCCAGTGCTGAAGATACTCCATCAGGCTTCCTCCTCCAAGCTGTGGCAGCCCCCAGCCTCTCCCAGAGAGAAGTTAGATGTCTGCCCATGTCTGCTGTGGTTGTTTCTCAATTGTTTCTACCCTGAAAAATTAGTAATTGGAATAAGAGTGAGAAAGTAGATATCTGGAATTTGTCTGGACTAAGTGGCATGGATAGTTTCTCTGTTTCCCACTTCGTGAGGTATTAGTGGAAAGCTGGAAGGAAAGGGTGGAAGGTCAAAGACAGCATCTGAGCCCCATTTATGTCACCCACTGTGCCGGTGCTTAATTCACCAAAGTCTCCCTGTGGTGAGGTGACCCTTACAATGAAAACACTTCTGCTTCCTTTCCTTCTCATCAGGTACTCCTGGATTTGTCACAAGCTTCATTATCACAAGCAAGAAGAAAAACAGAATCTGTTTATGGCCATATATTAACACTAAGCACCATAAATTGTGTATGGAGTGTCAGCCAGGAGAGATCATTCTTCAGCTGCTTCTGTTGGCAACTGTTGAAGTTTGAGATGTCCTGTAGGGTAACACAGTAGTGAACTGCTCGATTTTTAATGGAAAGGCCTTTTCCTGTTCAATTTCAATTCTTACAGGGCTCTGGACAGTTTAACTGGGTTTTGAGGTACTACCGATTGTTCTAAGGTAAAAGAAAAGTGACCTCATATTGGACCACTGTGGCTAGATCCACGTTGTTACCATTGATCCTAACTATGAAAGAATGAGATACAAGGAAGGAAGCACAAGCTGCACCTTCCAGTCTTCCAGTAAGTCTCCTAAATTCATCAACATCAGAACAGTTGTGCTAGGTCAGACTAAGGGTTTCTTTTTCCCAGTATCTTTCCTTCAGATGCATCCTAGCTATGTTTGTGGAATAAGTATGAAATCTTTTCCCCTGTACATTCTTCCAGCTCTCTGTGGTTTAAGTATATCCTGATGTAAAGCCTGCACTCACACCATAATCTTTCTAGCACACATAAACAAAGCTTAATTCCACAATCTTCTCAATTTATTAATTCTTGTGGCCTCTGAAGAAGCCTGCTGTAAACACCACAACAATATAAATACACAGTCATGAACCAGTATTTCCTTTTGCTGATTTGATATCAGGTGTTCACTGCATTGTGAAGACCCTGAGCAAACTGTTCTCCCTTCTTATTTTCCCTTGCCACCATCACTTCACTGCTCTTCATCCCATTCCGCATCAGTCTCTCCATTCAGACCTCATGGCTGTTTAGCCTCTCTTTATAGGAAAGCTGCGCTGCACTGACCATCCCTGCCCTCATCCTGTACTGTATCCAATTTAGACACAAGGTTTTCTGGGATAGCAGTGACCTTACTGACATGCAGTAGGTAAGATATAGATAAACATGCAAACGCCACAAACTTTTAAGTTAGGAAGGAAGTTACTCAATTAAATATTATTAACTCAGACAACTGAAAGAACAATGTCCTCACTGCTTTGCTGGGACTCACATTTGCCTTACAGCAAGCTCAGAAATGTCCTTTTGGGCTCTTCCAATTGTGCCAAGTCCTAGATTTACCCTAGCACACAGCAAGGTTTGCCCAAAGCACATTTCCCTCTGTGAAGGCACAAGGAAGGCAGGGGCAGCCTGCATGGTAGTGCTATGAGTGGAGAAGAAAAGGGGTAGATATAACTTCATGGGGTTAATTTTTAAGACCGTTGAGGCTAAAATAGGATTAAAACTTTGGAGGGAAAGTACTGAGTGAAGGGTTAATGACAGTAGCCATAATAGCCAAAAAGTAAGTGTGTAGGGTCATTGGAGCCCCTGGAAGATTTAGAGAAGGATAGCTACAGAGAAACACTATTTGTGCATAAAAAAGGCTGAATATTTTAGGTGGAAAAAGTCTGTCTCCATGTCCTCAAGAAGGCAAAGTATGCACAGAATAAACAAACAAGAAATCCACAAACCCATACTTAGGTAATTTTATCAAGATATATGCTAGGTCTCATTATGACACTGGGGCCAGCAATAGGTTAGTTTATAATTTTTATGGATCAGGACAGGAGAAATAAGTGCCTTAGTTTCGAAATAGTGCCTTAGGGCAGCCCATGGAAGTATATGGAAGAGTATCAGAATATTTTGTTGCTGCAAAGAGAGTGTGACAAAACTTAAAGGAATGACATGTAGGCTTGGCTGCAGTCTCTGAAAAAGGCAATTAAAAGGTTTTGCAAAAATTAGTTCACAGCCTTATTCTCTGTGCTTCTGTAAGATACTTCAGCTTCTGCATGGCACAGCTGGCTATCCAGGTGAATTGCTTTCCCACCGCAGAGGGATGTATGAGCTGACTCAGGATGAGGCAAGGACAACATAAACACTCCCTTTCAGACAAATATAAAGTAGCCCCGCAGCAAGACACAAAGTCAAGACAGTGATAATTTGCTGTTAAGCCCAGATTCTAGATCTGAGGACAGGGAAGTGCTCTAGCAGACATGGGACTTTCCTCAGTTTTGCACCTTCCTATCAAACCTGGTGGTTAATGGAGCTCTGCATGAGCTGCCAGCTGTGCCAGCCCTGGCCTGCACACACCTGGGCTGGAGGGGGACACTCAGGTGGGCACAGGTGGTGGCACAGTGGGCATACATGGCTGGCTAACATGTTCCTGGTTCTTGTAGGAGCCACAAGAAGCAAATAAAAGGGCTTGGGACAGACCTACATGAAATGTTATTGAATAACATGGCAGTGAATTACAGATCTTTTTTTTTTTTTGTTTTGTTGTTTTGATGCCACTCAGAAATTTTATTGGAAAAAAGAAATACACTATTATTTACGAAATTTCTGTGTCTTCCATGCTGTCTCTCAGAGCTGCTTGGAAACCTCCCCAGCTCCCCACCCTGTTTGGCTTTTTGTCTCTGTTTTCAAGAAATACAGTCTCATCAAAATGGAAAAATATCCAAACTGCTGCACAGAAAATTGAGCCAATAGACTGGTCACCTGACTTGGAGATTGGAGGATAGCTGCACTAATAGCAAACTGATTTGGCTTTTTTTTCCTTTCAGTTATACATTGCTCAACACTGAGATTTATGCCTGTC